GGCTATTTCCCTGAGCCGGTCTCTGTGGAGTGGAGCCCCAGCATCGGCTCCACGGGTCTGAAGACCTACCCCTCCATGAAGCACACTTCTGGCGACCTCTACTCACTCAGCAGCCAAGCCACCGTCCCGGCCAGCAGCTGGGAATCCAACACCTATCGCTGCAATGTCAAGCACGAGCCCACCAGCTCCACCATCACCAAGGAAATCCCAAGTAGGGGCAGCGTGGCTGCGAAGGAAAGGGAGGGTTCACTGATGCAATGATGGTTGTAAGGAGAGAGGGTGGGAGCGTGGATGGTGGGAAAGAGAGAGACGCCCTGGAAAGGAAGGAATGTCTGGGGTTAGGGAGGTGGTGTTGGGTCTGGAGAAAAGGGGAGCATGCAGAGAAAGGGGGAGGGATGAAAAGAGAGAGACCCTTCAAAAGAAGCAACAGTACTGGGAAATGAGGCAGAGGTCTCTGTAGGGCAATACAGTGGAGGACCAAGCCCGTAAGTGCACAGAGCTGTCATGTCTGGGATGAGTGGGAAGGTGACACCGGGCTGGGTTCGAGGGAGGAGAGGGGAGACTGGGGTGGCCTTGGGCATAAGAGACCAGGCCTAACATTTGACATGGGTTCTCCTGTTTCCAGACGTCCTCGTCTTCATCGTGCCCCCAGAACCTTCTGAACTCTATACGGCTGGCAGCCCCACACTCACCTGCCTGGTTGTCAACCTGCCTAACAACGATCCACTGAAAGTGGAATGGACCAAAGAGAAGTTAGGGTCCACTAACAACACCAACCCCTCCATGGATTTGCAGAGAAACCACACCTTCTCTGCCAACAGTACACTGTCCATTACGGAGAAGGAGTGGGAGGATGGAGAGCAATACAGATGCAAAGTGAAGTACTCGGGGCTGCCCTCACCCATCATCAAATCCATCTCCAAGTACCAAGGTAGGAGGAGGGCATGGTCCCTAAGAGAGAGACCCCTATTACAGCCCCCAGCAGGGAGGGAAGGTCTGTCAGGGGGAGTCCCAGCCCCTCAACCACCTGGGATCCTGGCCCTGGGTCCCTCTCCATCCCCATGTGGGATGATGCTATCCTACCTCCCATTCCACACCTAAGGACGTCCCCACTTCCAGCCCTCCCCACTGACCTGAAGGACAGAGGGCATGTTCCTACATCCTCCCCCAAAAGAAACACAGGCCCTGTCCATCTTCCCATGTGGGCCCAGCCCAGTGATGTGCCTGGCTCATCTGTGTCCTCTGTTCCCACCTACACAAGGAACGAGCTTTGCTCCGAGTGTCTACCTCCTGCGCCCCCACCCTGATGAAGTGAAAAGCAACAGCAATGGGGATACTGTCAGCCTCACCTGCCTGGTGAGGGGCTTCTACCCCAAGGACATCTCAGTGAAGTGGATGGAGAATAACAAATCCAGCGACCGCAACAAATCTGTCACCACCTCGCCCATGAAGGAAGGAGATGGCGACTCGACCTACTTCCTCTATAGCAAGATGACAGTTGACAAGGCCAGTTGGAAGAAAGGAACCACCTTCACCTGCATGGTCATCCATGAAGCCCTGAAACCAATGAAATTCACCCAACAAAACATCTGCCATGAAGACGGTAAATGCTGATGGCTTCTCCCAGCCCCACTGCTAGCATTGTGCGGTAGAGCTTCCTGTAAATACTTTCTGTGCCATCAGTGATGACAAGTGAATAAATGGAACTAGTGTGAGCTTACCCCCAGGTCTCCTTGTTGTGGTGTCACTAGGGGAA